TATTTCTTTAATTTCTTTGTGGGTTATTCACTACTTAAACTGAAAATATAAAAAAAAATGGAATTTCAATTATTTAATCAAGTTCATTACAAATTCATCATTAAATAATTCTTCAAATTTTTTAAATTGACTTGGATTTTCATTATAAAAACCACGTTTTTCAAGAATATTTTCAATTTGTGATTGTTTTAATCCTAATAATGAAATTTCTTCAATTTTTTGTCCAATAATGTTATAAAACACAAAAGCAGCACGGTCTGAATTAGTATGAATTAACATTGGGCTTTATAATTAATTTAAATCCATAAATTTTTTAAAAAAATAAATTAATAAATTAAAACAAACTAATTTGGAAATTCTGATTTTAAAAATGCTTTAATACCTTCTTCATTTTCTATTTGACATTTTCTTGGTGTATGAAATTCACAAACAAAATATTGATTTCTATCAATTTTTTGATTATCATTACCAGAAACAACAATAATACAAATTACAATAAATAACAACGACATGAATTTATATTTTAAAGTTTATTTTTGTTGAATTGAATTTTTTATATAATTTGAATTTTCTTGTTTATTTTTTTTTAATTTTTTTGTGCTTTATATATCAATAATTTTGAGAATTAAAAAAATAAAATAATTAGTTATGAATAAATATTAATAACGTAAATATTCTAATTGTCTTACTACTTCATCTATTGTTAAACGTTCATTTGGAATATCACACCACATTTGTGTTAATAATTCATAAAATGAAGAATTCATTGAATCTACTTTTGGAGGTCTTTTTCCAGAACAAACATCTTGAGCTATATTCCAAGTTTTCATTGAAATTGGATAAGCATAACACCAATTAATACATTCATACATTAAAATAGCAAATGAATAAATATCAGCCGACATTTTATATTTTTTTCTTTTTAACAATTCAGGAGCCATATAAACAGGAGTACCAATTCCACTAGTAAAAGTCAAATTAGTTACCAATAAATTAATACTTCTAGAAGAACCAAAATCTGATAATTTTGCATTAACAAAAATGTCTTGATCTAAAGAAAATATAAGAAGATTATCAGGTTTAATATCTCTATGTAATATTCCATTTGAATGAAGATATTTAATTCCTTTTGAAGCATCAATTAAAAGTTTAATTCTTAACTTTAAAGATATTTCATTTAAGGTTAAAGTATTCATAAGATTTTGTAAAGAACCATATTGTGCAAATTCAGTTACAATACAAAATTTATTTGTCCATAAAACAGATCCATAAAAATAAACAATATAATCACTTCTAAAGTTTTCTAATAAAAATATTTCTCTTTTAAATTCTTCTACAACTCCTTCTATAATTTGAATGTTTTTAAGATTTTTAATTGCAACAATATTATTTCTAAAGATTCCTTTATAAACTATTCCAAATGTTCCTTCTCCAATTTTTTCTTCTATTATTAATTCATCATAATCAAGTTTTGTTGATAATTGTGTTCTAAGTTTAATATTAATTGAATCAATTGAATCGATTCCTAATTTATTATTTGTTTTAACAATTTTTAATTGTTCATTAATAATTGTTGTACAATATGGTATAACAGTCACAGTAATACAATAACAATCATCTTGTTTTAATTGTAGTATTTCTGGTTTAATTAAAATACAATATTTTTCTTTATTTTTATTTAAATATGTAAATGTTATATATATTGTTTCTTTATTTGTATTTCCAATATAAAAAGTATCTGATATTGGTTGATCAATTTCAACTAATTCATTAACATTTCCTGTAAATTTTAATGTTTTCTTATTTACAACAATTCCTTTTAAATGTAAATTTATCCAATTCAAATGAGTTTGAGAAACTTTTTGATATTTTAATAAAGGTTGATATTCTTGATTTCTTTTTAAACAAATATTTATAAGAATTATATAAAGAATTGTTATTAATAATATCATTACTATTAGTATCAGAATTAATATAATAATTATTATCCACCATTTTATATTAATTTCACATTCTATTCCTGTTATTGTTGGTTCATACCAAAATGAACATTTAATACATATAGAATTAGATGCCATTTTACAATGACTAATAAATGAATAATGAATACATTTACCTTGATATAATATATATTCTTCTTTACATCCTATACATATTCCGCTTTCCCAATGACATTTATTACAATATGGTTGAATATCATTACAATAAACGCATCGTATTCCATCAAGATAAGTGTCATTATCACAATAAATACATCCTTTATTTCCAAATTCTTTACAATTCGTTAAATGAAAAATTGATTCACATTCTCCTGTTTCATTTAAAAAATAATTTATGCCACATTCAATACATGAAGTTAAATTATTACAAATTTTACAATTATTTGAACATCGTTCACAAATACTTTGATTTAAATAATAAAAATCTTTACATTTTGCACATTCTCCTTTTATTTCTGATGCAAATATTTCACATGATTCAATTTCTTGTTTGGCACTAATACATGTATTGTCTTGAATCATAAAACCTGAAATACAACTTAAACATGTTTTTGAATTTAATACACAATTTAAACATGTTACATGACATGGAAGACATTGATAATTATTAGAATATGTTCCATTATTACATGATATACATTTTCCTTTATTATATTCAATACAATTACTAATAGGATTTGGTTTACATTGAAAAACAATTTGATCATACTCATTTAATTCTTTATGTAAATAATATCCATTTTCACATCCTTCACAAATTCCAGTCGTAGAACATAAAGTACAATATTCTCCACAAGAAATACAATTTAATCCATTAAAATATTCATTTGGATTAATACATGAAATACATTTCCAATTGTCAATATAACAAATGTCTTTTCCTAATATGCATTCTCCTTGCTCATTAAGATAATATTCATCACTTATACATGACAAACACGTTTTTATTCCATATGAATCTATTTGACATTCTCCACAATTATTTCCACATTGTGTACAATTATTTCCATTATAATAATATCCATATTCACAAATTACTATTGAACTAATTATTTTTGAATGCTCGATATATGAACAATTTGTTCCAAAATATCCATTACCAATATCACAACTTTCACATGTATTATTATTTTGACACATTATACAACCTTCTTTACATTTATTACAATTACCATTTATATTATAATATCCAAGAGGACATTTATAACAAATATCCCCTTTAAAATAGTTACATGGTTCTTTATATAATACACACTTTTTGTTTTGAAGTTGATAACCATTATAACATAAAATACATTCATTCGAATTACAATATTGACAATGTTCAGAACATTTATTACATTTATTCTTTTCTTTATCAATATAATATCCTTCATTGCATTGAAAACATTTTCCATTCTTTGTATAATGCATACATTCTTCAACTTTACCACTTAAACATTCATTATTTTTCATTAAATACCGACAAACTACACAATATATTTTATTATTTTCAATTACTACAACTTTACATAAACCATTTTGAGATAAACTAATAGATTTAGATTGAATATTTATATCATACCCAAAATGTAATTCACAAAATAAAATAGCAGTTCCTTTAATATGAATATTTAAAATAGTTTTATTATTATTGTCATTCATTAATTTAAATAAAATAGAATTATTATTTCCATTTATTTGAATATCTTTTTCTAATATAATAACAAGTTCTTTATTTTGAGAATATAAAATACTATTATATTGATTATAAATTTGATTATATTCTTCATTTTGTTTCATATAATATTCTTTTGAATTAATCATTAATGTTTTATTTACATTTTTATCATTATTACAAGGACATGAATAATCAATATTTCCATTTGAATTTAAATATATTGATCCACCAATATAATTACAAATTTTATTATCAAGATGAAGTGAAGAACATGGTGATTTTGTTATATTTCCAATAATAATAACTTGATTATCACACATATATTTAAATTGATTTTCTAATGAAATTACAATACTTGGTCTTTTCTTAGTTTCAAGAAAAGCTACTGGATGTGAACGAGGACTCATAATTGGAATTTTTTGAATAATTAAAGGTTTAGAAGTTCTTTGAATATCAAGAAGAAGAAAGAGATTATCAATATTTTGTATTATTGAATTAATTGCAATAGAAATAACTTGTTCATTAATTATTAATGGTTGAGTTACTGATAATATATTAAAATTGATCATTCCTTTTTTTATTGTTAATGAACGTGCTATTATATCTATCATATAAGTACTATTACATTCATTAATAATTAAATCAAATGCACTTGTAATAGCACAATATCCAGTTGAAGTTAAATTATTTATATAACCACCATTAATAAAAGTTATTGAAGTATCTTCACTCATTTCAACAACATCTGCATAAACAAAGTTTCCATCATAATCAAATTTTCCATTTACTGTTATTTTAATAAAATGACAATTTCCCTTCCACCGAGAAATACCTTTTATTATTAAATGATTTATTTCTACTGTTGCAATATCATTAACAATAATTGAATTAGTAATAATCATTTCATTACATATAAGAATTCCTGAAATAATTATTGTATTATCTAAAATACATTTATTTGCTTTAATAAATCCTCCAATTTTTCCATTTTGAATTATTATTTCATTCCAATATACTTCAGTTTTAGGATGATAAGAATTTTTATTCAAAACAAATAATTTTAATTGATTTGATTCCATTTGAGAAACATAATTACAATCATTTTGATCAAATGTATTATTATTGTAATAACAATTACATTCTATTTGACTTTCATTTAATACTATTCTATTATATAAACCATTCTTACAACCAATTCGTAAATTAAAATTATTAGATATATAAAATGAACCACAATTAAATATTATTTTGTTTTTATTTAATTCATTTACTTTTAATGAAGAAGCATAAATTTCTTTAAAATAATAAAATTCATTCTCATTGTTTTGAATTATTAAAGAAGAAGAAATTATTAATTTCGTTTGTAAAATAAAAGTAATTGATGGAAGAATAAAATCTTCTTTAATAGTAATTGGTTCATTACTTTGAATGAATAGTGGTTGTGTTCTTGGTTCAATAATTAATTTTAACCAGTGATTATGTTGATCAAATTTAATATTTGTTTGATGAGATTTAATTGTTAAAGGTAAGAAATCACTTGACACAAAACAATCAGGATAATTCATAGTAAATTCAGTAAATGAAACTTCACTAACAGTTGATTTAATAAAACAACTACAATCATTTTCAATAAATTTAGATTTAGGACATTTAATATAACGTGTTTGTGACATAAATGAACAAATTCCTTGAATAATAAAATCGTTAGATTGTTCAACAATAACATTTTTAGCATTAAAAAGATAATGACATTCATTAATTTGATAATCTTCTTGGACTCTTAATATAGTTGAATTTCCAGAAATAAACATATATGGTCGTTCTTTTTCTTTAAATTGAATAATATTAATTTCTTGATTGTCAAAATATATTTTTAATGTTTTAGTCCCAATTATAATAATTGTTTCTTTATCTTTTACAACATATTCTCTTGCATTTCCTATATAAATTTCACATTCATTATTTATATTTCTTCCATCAATAATCCATTTGGAATCTACAAATGGTGGTAAAAGTTTTATTAATGAAACTGTTGCTGATTCATCAAATGTTATTCCTTTTGGATTTCTATTTTCTGCTAATGAACTGATAGAATAATAATTTTCATTATTTTCACAACACTCTCCTGTAAATATAATCCAATCAATCGTTCCATCCCAAATTAATTTCCATCCATATCCACGATTACTACATGTCATTCCTGAAAGATTTGGATCATAAATAATTTCATTATCTTGTGAATACCAACAGTCTGAATTGACTAATTGAAATAAAATGAAATAAAATAACATTAATTTGTGTATTTTTTTAATGTTCTTTTAAATTGAATTTTCTAGTTGAAATTCATTTTTTTTATTAATGAAAATTCCTAAAAATCTTTTTAAGGATAACTCCTTCTTAAAATTATTATTTGAATTAATGATTTTACTTTTTTTTTCTTTTTAATTCTTGTGAATGTTCAAAAGAAAAGATATTTTTTTAATTCTTTCTCTTTTTAAATATTTATTAAATGAATTAACCTTCACTTTATAAAATGGTTCTACTCCCTTTCATTCTCATAAAAATAATTATTAACTTAATGCTTTTCATTTAACAGACAATTTGAGTTATACTTATTAATACTATTAAGTATAAACTATAAGATTGATATATCAATGATATTTATGAGTAAAAATACTCTTCTGATATTTTAAATACCTGAATTGTCTTTTTAACAATGAAAATAAAACATTTTTGAATTTTAATTTCTATAATATAATAAAATTATTCATTGTTTATCATTTCAACATTTTTTATCATTTATAACGATCAAAAAGAATTGTTTCAATGGAAAATGAAATTTTAGTCAATAAATAACACTAGTTTATTTTAATTCACAATAATTTTATAATATTAGAGAGAATAAATATATAAAAAATATTCTAATATATAAATAAGTATAACAAACAATAACCTCATGGTAATAGATTATAAAAATTACAAAATAGAATAAAAAATGTAATACAATTAAGATAGTAATCGTTGTTTATGAAATAGATATTGTTTTATTTAAATTCTTAATAAGTAAGGTGGCTTTTTAATTAAACCACTTCGTTTCTTATATTACTATAATTTTTAATAATAATTCTATTATTTATATGAACTTTAAAAAGATTAAACTTTATTTATTATTTTTTCTTCACATGTCTAAATCAAAAGATGTTAGACTAGACACACCAAGAAAAGTCTTTCTTTATAATGAACTCGTTGCAACACTATTAATCCCTGATGATGAAATATTTTATAGTGAAATAGAAGAAGAAAAAGAAACAAAATTAAACACCATAAAACCTGGCTTCTCTTCTGCATTAATAACTGATTGTATAAGTGAATACTTTAGAGAAGGTGAACCTCCCAGAAGAGAAGAATTTAAAAAATTTATTGAAAGTAAAGAATGGGAGCCATTTAGAAAACAAATATTTATGGAATATCCAATGATTGAAGAAAGGTATAAAAGAGAGGTGTTTGACAACAGAATGAAAGAAGAAGATTTTTTTGAGAAATTCTTTAAATCAAGATATTTTGGGGAAGTAGAAAAGAATAGTATTGATATATTTCAAGACACTTTCCGAACTGATGAACGTGAAAGAAAAGAAAGAAAGAAAAAAATCAGGGGAGATTTTTATCAAAAAGACATTGCTTCTATTGAATTAAAAAATGATGGCTGGGAAGGTTTTGGTACTAGAGGTATAACTTGGGGGATAGAAATGAATAGTAGAAGACAAATTGACGTTGAAAGAAATGTTTCTGTTAAACGATTTATTGACCAAATTAATTGGCACAGCGAAGTTGTTGTTAGGCAGATGGAAAAAAATGTTAAAGATGAGCAAGAAGTAGACTATGGGTTTGTAGAAAGTAAACGACTCTCTAATGTCCAAAATGTTGACTACACACAATGGGGAATTGATCCAAAATTATTTGATGGTATAGAAATCAATAAAATTGATTCTTTAAAAATTTGGAATACCACTCAACAAGGTGAAATTATCAAACAACCTTCTACCCAACATTCAATAAATAAAGGACAAGAGCTTGTCAAAGTTTTATTATTTTATCAGTTGTGTTCTTTTTGTTTAAAGTGTTTTTACAAAGAGTTAACTTCTGCAACACTCCAAACCCGTTATGAAAAAGTTATCTGTGATTGTTTTAATTTCGTAGAAAAACAAATTTCTTCAGAACCAATTGCTCACCGTCCATTGTGGGAACAAATACTTAAAGAACTTAAAAAGGCAATAACATTATTTAAAAAAAAATAAATTTTTTGTTTTTTATTTTTTTTATTTTTTTTTATAATTTATTATTATGAATTATTTGGAAAAAATGAATGAAAAATTGAAACGATACGAACAAAGACAGTTTCAAATATCTGAATGAACATTATATGAATAGTAAAGAATGACAATTATTGGTAGGTTCTATTAAACAAGAAATAAAAAGTGTGAGTAGAGTGAAGAAAAAGAGTTTCAAGTAATGACTGATTATTTGAACGAAAACACTTTCATTAATTATAACAGAACTAACTTCTGATGGTTTATGTATTGATAATATTATATTAGTCATATCCACAGCTATTAGTTTATTTTTATATTAATTTTAATGTAATTTAGTTTAATTTATTACCTGTTTTATCAGTTTCTTGTTTATAATTGTTTCTTTATATTAACATATTATCAAATCAAAAGAATAAAATATTAACCAAATCAAATTCTTTGTAAACTAATATTTCAGTAAAAAACGATTAAATTAAAAAGTGTTAAGAGATGCCTCTTAAAAGGCAATACAAAAATTACTCCCAGGTTAACCCATTTGACATCAACACGCCGCAGTGCACATGACGCATTGTGCAAAGATTATTGTGTTTCTTGAGGCACAACAATCAAGGATAAGTTTGTTGATTTTATCATTTTTTCGTTTGCTTTTTATACCATCTTTATAACCCTAGTTTAGGTTTCTTTCTTTTTTAACTTTTTATTTTTTAATTCTTTTTAGTTTAATTTATTAAACTTATTAAAACTTCTATTTTTATCACTTTTTTTTTTATTGTTTTATTAATACATCAAGAAAAACAATTTATTAAAACAAAAACAAATATTTTTTTGTGACAAAACGGTATTCAATAAGTATATATAACAATTACTTATTTTTATTAGACAAAGAAATCAATTCCAAAAGCTAAGTGAAACTCAAACAAAGTTGAACTTAATAGTAGTCTTCTTAAAGAATATTGAAATGAGTTTGTGATTGTTATACCTAATCATAATCTCAACCAAAAAAATGAAATTAAAAGACAAAATAATAATAAGTATTATTGTAGTTATTATGAATATTTTATTTGTCTATAACATTTAAGAAGAGAAATTAATAAAAAAAATGATGCTCTTCAAGAAATTAACAAATTAATTCTTAAATCCTTTAAAAAATACAGTAATTTTATAAAAGAATGAGTAATTTATAAATTAGTCAAAATTTTTATAATATTGAAGGTTTATTGGTTTTTTCTTTGTTGTGACTTTTTTTTGAAGTTATAAAAACAAATCTTTAATAAATATTAAAAAATATTTGTTTAATTAATTTTAAAATAACAAAATGACATTAAATTTCCTTCATATCTAAAATAATTGTAAAGGAGTTTTATTACATACCATATTATCTTCTGAATTTCTTGTTTTATGTAAAAGTAATTTACTAATAGCGTTATTAGGTAAATACTTTCCCATTCTTTGGTTTGATAACTTTGATTTTATTTGATAAAGACACTTTATGCAATTTTGTTTCTCTATTTCAATCCTATTTAATTCCCATGTTGTCTCAGATTTAATGAAATTAATTAATTCTGTAAGCATTAAATAAATACTAATCATATCATTCACAACAATACCTACACTAAAACATAATTGTTCATTAAATTTAATCATTTTTATTATATCAATTACATATTGATTATATTGATTAAATAAAGTATAACAATCATCCCATAAATTGATAATCATGTCTTTCTCTTTTAATTGTACGAGAAATAAACTCTTTCTTGTAAAATGAAAATAGCCATCAAAATAAGGATATTTATGATGGAAATTAAGTAAGTAATTGAGTAAAATGGAATAATGTTCACACCAAAACTGATATGTATTTGGGTTAATATTAAATACATTTTTTATATCATGTTTTGGAATGACAATTTCTTTAAATTCAGTAAATATGATACAATTTCCATTCTGACAAAGAAAATGAAGAAGAAGTAATCCTTTAAAAACTTCATCAAAATATTTACTTTTTAATTTGTTTTTAATCTTTTTAAATATAATATAACTTTTCCCTTGGAATGATTTCTTGATAACCTTATCAAGATACTTTTTTTCTGGATTGAAATTACCTTGTCCAATAAGTTCATGCAAAACCCATTTTATGTTGACGTTCATTTTTTTTTTTCATTTTGTGATTTTTATTGCTTTAATCTTATCGAATGAGATGAAAAGTCATCTCACTTTTCAAAAAGAAAGTATGATTATTTTTCGCAGTAGTATTATTGAAAAATAGAAATACAGAAAAAAATATTAAAAAAAATTACAAGTTATTCATCAATAAGATGTTTTATTTTTAGATTCGAATATCTCATAATTTACATTAAGAGTTTGTTACAAAATTAAAATAATAATTA